ATGTCTGAGGTTTTCTTTATTGATGCTAAAAATTTATCCTTAGTGTTGAGTTAAAGTTCGCATAATGCAAAATTTTAATTTCTAGGAGCTCAATATTTTCATTTTTTTTTTTCTGTTAAAACATCTTTATTTTTATTTTATTTTTTTAAAAATTTTTTATAACAATCTCTTCTTGGAGATAAAAATTGGTGTTCACACTTATAATTTATCTTTTAAAGCAATTCTTTAACAAAGTTTTAACTCTTTATTTAGGTGATCAACTCTTTATTGAATCCATTCTTCTAATTATCTCATTACTTACTTATGTTACCGAAATAGAATGACAAGATTTTATTATTTTATTTCTCATGCTAAAATGTATGTTTTAGAAGTACCCAAACTTTCTAGTCTCATTCAATCATGTCTCAATTAGTTCCTTTTTTTTTTGGCAATATTTGGTAATCTAAAAAGTTATCTTAGCACTAATTATGGAAGACTATTAGGAAACAAAACATAAAAGATTAAAAAAATCTGGCATAATTAATGAAAATTATAAAAATAATAAAATTTTGCAAAAGCCCTCCCAACACATTACCAAACATTCTTATTAAAAATCACAAATAAATAAGCTTATTTGACCCTATTACTCGAAAGAATAGGACCGAGAACATTTTATAAGAGCAATAATTAACTTGAAAAATACATGTTGAATCGAGAGAAACTCAAAAAGTATATAATTCTAACCACACATAGAAGACAAAAGGAGGAAGCTTCAATCGAAATTTCACATCAAAATACCAACCCACCACGGAGATATACATCATACAATTTCGACAAAATGAAGAAGAAACTTCAAGACTTCTTGAACTTTGGTCTTTTAGAGGCTTGAAGCTGACCCTTTTTGACATGCAATGGCGACAAGAGTAGATAGAACTTAGCATGCATGGCTAAAAATAGCATTGTCACTCATGGGTTTTGACAGAAAGGATGCCAATAAGAAAGCTTTTTCCTTGCGGATTGAAGGATGTCAAACTCAACTTTGCATTTGCATGTGATGGAGTAAGGGCAACGAGTTTGACCTTGCAAAGTGAAGAAAATGAAGTCTTTTTAAACAAAAAAGAAGAAGGTGTAAGGTAGAAGGGATTGATTGAGTGTCCAAAATGTACTCTACATGTAAGGAAAAGTGAGTAAATGACAGTAAGGATGAAAGCTCAAGGTTTCAGCCATGGAGAATGAAAGGAAAATAGAGCTTTATGTGTTGGATCCTTGATCCAACATTGGTCTTATATGTGAATAATTATATATTAAGGACACCTTCGGTTATGCCAAATTAAAAGTGATCAAATAAATTAAATTGGTCAATTATGTATCTGAAAGGATATAGGACCTTTAATGTGTGGCAACTAAAGGGTAATTCTATTTTGTGATGGGTAAAAATAGAAATACCAAAAGGCAGCCTTATTTGTCTATAAATAGGTTAGGTCCCAGGACACACTACGTTCTTTTCTTCTGACATCCCATTATCAGAAAGAAACAGACAGATTGCTAAAAGGTTCTCTCAAGAGAGTACATGTTGATCTGGAAAGCCAAACCTTAGCGCTCTCTTATCATTATGAATTCAGGTATGTTTCCATTTTTTTTGTTTTCGATGATTAACATGATAGATTCAGGGATATATAGATGATAGTTTTCATCAGGCTTAAGTTTGTTTCTAACATTATGAGTTTGAGGAAGAAAGTGGAAAGTGAAGAATGAGAAAGTAGGATTGATGTCCGTAATGCTTAAGCGGGGATTGAGATAATTTCCTCTCTTTTTTCCAATCGATATTAACATCAATTTAAATAAATTAGATGTGCAATTAGATTTTGTAAGCTCTTTAATTGACATGAGTGGGAAAAAGAAGGGAGAGTTTTTCACATGATATTGAACGAGGTTGGGAGATGATTTCACTATATAAAAAATACAATTTTAGGAGTACATTTTCATTTTCATTGTTCCTTGCATATATGTTCTTTTATTTTCATCCCTTAAATAGTTATGGGTTTGATTTACACAAGCCAATGTTTTGTTCCATGACTCTGATAGAAGTTAGGACGGTTTTGACGGTGGTATTAAAAGTCTTGATACCAATGATTTCATCGAAGGGTATACCTACAAATAACACTCTAAAGATCAATTTAGGTAGGATTTTGGTAGAGAATAACAAGTAAACATATAGACCTTAATTGACTTGATTGAAGAAGGTTTTGTGCGTGGTTTCGTAGGTTGAATGGGAAATGTATTATAGTCTATGACCTTTAAAGCATGGGTACAACACTTCCAGTTCCCGAATAAGTACCGGGTACGGGTACATACTAGATAGGTACTCAAATAAATTTGTAAAAAAAAAAGTTGGGTGGAGAAAGTGAGTAAGTGAGTACCGTTTGAGTATGGAGAATAAATTTTTTTAACTAAAATTTTAGAGTTTTAAATTATTTTTTTTCAAAAATTTGATTAGTTGTCTCTTTCTTCCCTCTAACCTCCACGTATCCGTACTTCCTTCGGCCTCTACATACTTATAGGTTGGATAATGTTACTTTTCTCCTCTCATTTCAAATCTCAATCATTAGCTTTTACTGGTGAATAACAACAACAAATGGTATCAGTGATCTCTTTCAAATATACTAAAATTTGTATACTTTTATTTTATATACAGTTTTTTATATTTATTTTATACAATTATATATATATATATATATATATATATATTTAAATTAACGTATCTGTATCCTATTTTTTTTTGAAAAATGCCATATCACGTACTCATATTCGTACTCGTTATCATACCCGTATCCATGCAACATATTCTATAACCACGGTACGAGGGAGCTGAAAATTTACCTCTCTTGCCAATACATGACCTTTTTGGGATCCGAGATCAAGCTTAGGATGATGCTTTAGTGTTAAATTTTGTGTTGATTTTGCTAGGGAAGTGGTGATTTGACCCTAATAACTACTATCAATTACATTGACCACGAATTATCAAAAGAGTGTAAATTTTTTGTATGATAATGATAATACTCAAATGAAATCCAAAAAGCTAAACATGCCAACACTTAAAGTAATATTCTTATTTAATTTTTTTGAAAAAAGTCATAGTTCTTTTAAGTGTAACTCATCACATAATTTTGAAAGATAATAAGATTTTGTTAACTCATTTAGCAAAACCATAAAATGAACTGATCTCAGTAGCCTTTCTGATAATGTGATTTTGAGATAATGCAAGGATGTCGTAAGATCCCACTAATCCCACTGCTTCAAGAAAAACGTATGTTGTTATGCAATATAAAAATGACTAAAATATGATTTAATTGTAGGTTTTTCTTACCAAAAATTTTTTAGTTTAGTGTGAAAAGCTAACTTCTGGCTAAAAGTTGAACGCTATTAAAGTTATGTTTAGTTAAAAGTTAGATGAAAAACTATTTTTTTAACTAAAAGTTGTTAACTTAGTAAATTAAAAATATTTGATAAAATTATTTTTTGAATTAGTTAATAAATATAAAATGACATAAAATAATATATTTAAATATTTTTATGTAATTTTTTATTTTATCAACAATAAATTTTTATGTAATTATAGTTTATCAAACATTATATTAAAAATTAAAAATAAATAACGTAAAATTTTAATAATTAAAATAAACTGTAATATTAAAAAATGCTGAGGATGAAAAAAACAAAAGCTACAAACTCATTATTTTAAATAATATTTATAAAAGCGTTATAAGTTAGTGAGATAAACTTAATTTCAAACGTCTTTATTTTAATCAATTAAACTTTAAAAGCTTATCAAACAAGTAATAAACTTACTGAAATGACTTGATCAAGATATACCGTAAAGTCAATTTTATGAAATGATTTTGTAAATTTGTTTTATATTCAATAATTAATCTGTACAAAAATCATGATTTTTAATAGATAAATATAGATTATCTAAACAAAATTGTTTAAAATTCATAATAGAAAAATTTTCACAAAATATACTAGTTAGTCTGTCTTTATGAAATTCATCCCGTAGAAGTTAATGTAACTAGTTCCTAAAAATGACAATTTATGATACTTTCTGTCAAAAATATTTGAAACTTTTTTATTTATAAAAATTAATTCGGAGAGATGAAATTATTTAAAAACTGACAACTTTATGAGATAAACTTATTACTTATAAAAACAAATTTATATAAACATGTACTTTTAAAAACTAAAGGAATAAAAAAAAATCTTCTTTGGGGAATCAAGTTGTATCTCCGTCACGTAACGTTTTGATATGCGAGAAAATTAGAATACATATGTATGCATAAAAAATAACCATCAGAGACATGAAAACGACCCCTACGCATATTATGTAACAAACAAATTTCAAACACTACGCAACAAACTATTGTTAATTAGTGTACACATGTATAAAATTATATACCCAGACACACAAAAAATAAAAAATAAAAATAAAAAAATAATATATATATATATATATATATATATATATAATTTCAGTTCCTAATCAGTTAAAGAAAAAATAAACAATTAAAGAAAAAACTATAGTAATCAACGAAAGTTAGTCTGAATAGCCTGCTCAATATCACTTAAGTAAAATTTTTAGTTCGAATTATTATATATGCAAATTCTTGTATATGCAAGATTAGATCCTAGTTAAAGATTAAATTTTTTTACTATTACCCTTAAAGCAGAGACACTAGTTAATATTTGCCTAGGTCAAAGATAAAACAAATTCTACAATAAAGTTGAGGAATGATACTTTTGCCATCATTAATCATGCGAGAGGCATCAGCCACTCAATGCATTACAATATTACATATGTCATCATCAGAAAACACCAACTTCTAGAGAATATATTAATAACCAATAACTAGTTAATAACCATGGTCTCTCTACTTTTTATGCCCTTAATCAAGCTTTTAAAAAATAACTATAAATATCATCTTTTTAAAAGCAAAATCACACACACAAGCACATAATCATGATTACTACTTAAAGAAGAAATAAAAGCAATAGACATGATATCTGAAGCAACAAGAACAAGGGAAAAGAGGATATGTACAGTTCATATTCCATCAATTGTGCCACATCCCTCCAAGGCAAAACACAAAACAAGGTGGGATAATTCAAAAACTGTACTTTTAACTATATATTTGGCCTAGTGGACTATGATAATGTTTATTTACATACTAATAAATAAAAACAAACTGCTACGAGGTAAAAGAAATACTGATGAATTCTAGTTGCTACCAAAGGTGATTGCCATTTACAAGTAGCCAAGGATGCTACTATGGAGCAAAGCTAAAAACCTCATGACACTTACTTTACATGATTTAGTTGCTTTCACATGTCCCCAAAGACGCACTTTGGCAGCGTCTTTTCCTCAAGCTCACCTGAAAAGGAAAGGGTATAATTATCATTGGTCAACGATCAACAATTACATTATGACCTTCATTACAAATAAAGGTGTTTTGTTCTCAGCTAAAGCACGGCGACAAATACAAGAAGGGTGTCTCTATTGATTTTATGTTTTTATGTTCCTCCATTGGGAGATATTTTGTTAACCCTCTTTCTCCCCTCCCTTCCCTTCTTCTCCCTCTCCCTTCAAACTCCAAACAAAGCCTAAGTGTCTATTATCACTCTATTTAAGTAATATTCATATATTTTTTTCTCTCTTACAACCATATTAATATTAGATGTATGTAAACAAAAATCACTAAAGGAAGAGTATTACACATGAGAGTGACAATACCATACAAGAAATACGCCAGGAATTCAAGTATCTTAGGTTGTTAAAGTAGCACATCTTTTATTATATAAGAAATTTTGACATACAAGAAAATGTCATTTCAAACAATTTATGGGGAGTAACCAAGGCTTTCTGTACCTTGATGACCAAGCTTGAGTTTTGACGTTTGCTTTTGTACAGGATTGAATTTTAAAGAGGTTCAGACATAAGACTATTCCATGGAGATATACAAAGGTGGCAGTTATGGAAACGTAATTGAATCAGTAACTTTCAATCATTTCATCTTTTATGAACTTAACTTGATAATGGTCCTAGGTAATTGGGAAGGTTCTCAGACATAAATATACTGTAAAAGGTACAATTCATCTAACTTGTAAGAGCAAGAAATATGTTTAAAGCTACATGAAGATAAATTTCATACAAGATTGACTATATAACAGTACATAGAAAGTAAAACAAAAGTTCTTTTGCTTACCAGAATTATGTATTTATAAATCAAATTGTTAAACTCCTCTGGCATATATCAAATTTACTTTCCAATCATCATGTCCATCATCAAATATGAGAATTTTAAGCTTTAAATTAAAAAGCTCTACAATCAAGATAAGATCTACCTCAACCATAATGATAATCCACTACCTTCTTCTGTGCATATCAATTTATATTGCTTTGCATGGTCATGTCAAATTCAAGTAAATATTTGTCATTTGTCTCATGACAGAAGCATAATAAACCATTACATACTAGAAAGAATGACAAACACAATCACCATATAAAGTTTAGTCAACAAGAACAGAGGACCATGGCTATTGTCGCAAATACATGCTTCTAAAAACAAATTTGGTCTAAATTCAAGAGGAAGTACACAAAATGTTTTACCTTAGATGATGAAGGGGGCAAGGAAGCCCGACGTATAGGGTTTCTCAGCTGTTTTATCCTTTGAAGATGGTTTGCTATCTCCTCCAAAAGCTTCAACTGACGCTTTTCACCTTCTCCATTCTCTGCAATTAAAGTCAATTTTTCCTTCTCATGTTTTAACATCCTCAACCTTTCTCCGAGAATTTCGATCTCATTGCTAATCTTTAACTTTTCATAATGAACTGCACATGAAGAATCACTTCCATAATCAAAAGGCAAAGTTCTGCGTCTTGAGCTTGAGAACATGGATAACTGACTACTCGAGCCATCATCAACACTATTACCATTTTCAGTCTTGCCTGCCCCCGGACAATGACTCCCTACATTACTACTCTGTACTGCTAAACTTCCAAATTCAAGAGATCTATTTGTGGGTTCATTTGTAACAGTACTCAATGAAGAGCTACTTAACTTTTCATTTTCCTCTTCCCTAAGTTCTATGTTGTCATTAATGACATGAACATCAAGAACATCAGGTTCAGTATCGTAAAAGGAGCTATGCAGGTTGTCATGCACTTGATCTTTGAGCTTTGTGTTTTTCTCTTGCTCTTCTCCATCTTCTGTATGGATACAAGTCTGAGCAACCATATAACTTGAGGAAATATCTGCCATTTCATCCTTCTTAGCAATTGATATGGTGCTTTGATCTTCAAATGTTTCGATTGAAATTGGAGGACTTCGTCCCCATTCATCAAGTTGCACCTTTGGCTTGTCAAATGATTGGTCACTTCCTTTCAAATCCGTCTGCCTATAAGCTTCAAGCTCCTTTTCCAAAAAGTGGTTCTCTCTTTCCCTTCTTATAAGGATTTCTTGCAGAATATTCATCTCTTCTTCATCATAAGCCACTCTTTCGTCTATCATCCTCTGGTATTGCCTCATCTCCATTTCCATTGATGCCTTCTCCTCCTGTAGACGCAATATCATAGCCATGGCTTCATCAGCAGCAGTAGCAGCTGCAGCTCTCTCCTTCTCTAGCTCAAGGTAAAGAGCAGCATAGGCAGCTTTCTCTTCTCCAAGTGCATTTTCTAAAATCTTGATACGGTCCTCTTCATTTCCAACAATATGAACATTGTTTTGTGCATTACTCCCGTACTTTTCCAATGATGACGAACATTTGTCCTGTCCAGGACTATCAACCATCGATTCATTAAATTCATAACTATGAAATGTCTTCTCATCCAAATCATTGCCCGTTTGGGCATCATCAATGCCTATGTACAGCAAAATACAGCAAGTTAAAAGCAATATCCAGTAGGCATAAAATAATAAAAATATAGAGAATAGGTGTTCAATGAGTATATATATATACACAAAAGATTCAACTTGTAACCCCTTTGAAAGCCTAAAAATCATCATTATCATCATAAGATGCTGAACTAAGTACCGATTTGAATTTCGGTAACCCAACCTAAATCTTGTAATACTAACTTTTTAAGTGACAAACCGCATATTACAAGAATCACAAACCCTTATCATGTAATAAGGATTATAAATATGCTAACATATGGGAGCTAGTCTAGCATAATTATCATTATCAACATTAGAAGTCTACAAATCCAAATTAATTTAGATCGCTGAATGAATGATAATTATGTTGGTCATTTCTTACTTACCAAGTGCACTAACTTCTTTCCCTGAACCAAACTTTATTCTTTCATTGGTTCTGTCTCTAATTATACTGCCATCGCAAGGCAAGCAGGAAGTGAGGACAACATCAGGTTGTAGATTATCACAAGGAACAACCGATGAGATTTTCCCACAATCATAACTAGCCCTCCTCCTGCGCCTAACTCCGGACCTTCTCTTCATACTCATGACCCTCTTCCCCTTAGGATCATACACGTTTTCCCTATCAACAAAAGGGACCAAACGTGGCCCTGAACATGAACTACAAGATGCCTCATCTTCCAACTCAACAACCCTATCACCATGTGGTCTCTCTGCAACCACTTGGTCATCATTAGCACTGCCTGAATGACCCTTCACTCGAATCAGATCAAAAGGGAACCTTTTAGCTGCCATGACTTGAATGGAATATATCTTCCTTGAAGGCCATTCAAACAGCACCTTATGCACACAGAAACTACTATTCCTAAACCCAAAACTCCCTTTGCAGGGACAAGGCAAACAAAGGCTAAAAAACCTGAAAATTTTGGACACAAAGAAAGCAAAAGCTGATCCACATAACAGGAAATAAGCTATAACAAGGTCAATAAAAGCTCCAATAAGTCCTCCCAATGTCCAAGAGTGTGTTGTTTCCTCCGTAGCCATCTTCTTCTCAAGTGCTCAGAAAAGATCATCACAAGTACCACAAGAACGTATCACCCAGTACCCACAAAGCAAAATCCAAAATTTTCACCGACCCTTGTCCCAAAATCCCCGATTAAAAGCACCAATGAAAGAATTGAAAAAAAGGGTGTTGATATAATGGAATCCAGATCATAGGAGGTGGTAAAACAACTTGAAGAAAAAAGCGAAAATACAAAAGAAACCCAAAATCATGGTATCTGCAGTTCAACCTTTTTGTTATTATTATTTTTGGAGAAGAATATTTACAAAACTTAGGAAATTGAGAGAAGGTTGGTGCGTACCAAGGTTGAAACAGAGGGTTAACAGTAAAAACAAAATAAAAATGAATGAGATTTTCAAAAAAGGAAAATAATTAATAAAGTGAAAAATGAAAAACAACTCAGAAAGGAATGGAGAATAATACAACAGTGATGATGATTGAGGGAAGAATATTGAGATTGGCATGTGATTTTTAAAGCCTCGTGGAATCATAGTTTATCATCATTGCAGCCCCCAAAGCTCCATCCAACTTCTTCATTCTTCGGTAAGACAGAAACGAACGACGCCGTTTGTCATCGCCTCCCAAATCGCCACGTGGTGCTTAGTGTTATATTATTCTGATTTAGCCTGAAAAGTTTGCTGCCTCTATTCTCATGCATATCCAGTAATGAATGCGGTGTACGTGGAAAGTTTTTACTATTTGTTTAAGAGCAATTAATAAAATATTAAAAAATAATAATTTTTTAATTAAAAATATAATATTTAATGTTAAGATTAGATATATTTTGTGTTCTTATAAATATTTACCTGTTTACCATAAACTTTTATAATTTTTTTAGAATTTATTTTTTAAAAATTAAGAAATTAGAATCTAATCTGAATTTAATCTTTATCGATTATTGTTAATTTTCTTTTATTAAATACTAAAGTAGCTGATAAAGTGTCAATTTAATATTTTTATGTGTCGTGTGACATGCTATATAATTTATTTTTTTATATTTTATTATTTAAAATTATATAATTATAAATAAATTTCTAAATATTATCTATATAGTTTCATAAAAAAAAAATTTAACATTTTTCTTTCTTCTCTATCGCCTCTCTCATTTTCTCTCTTACACCCTGTTCCTTCCGTGTCCACACACACACACAAATATCTGATTACTAAATAATGGCCAAAAAGTTATCTTCAAATGATAACAATGGCCAAAAAAGTTATCTTCTTATCAGATTTAAGGTACCTTCTCACGCATTCATAGATAAAGATTATGTTATTCTCGAGGCTTGCATAAAAGATTTTAGGACTCCTATTTACCAATACAACAAAGTTAGGAATGGAAGTAACTTTATAGAGTAAAAATTCCATTTTGAGCAAAATCCTTTTGTGGGGATTGCAGGTAAGCACATTGGGTGCTTTCTAACTTGGAAGAAAGGATTTGAAGAGTAGGCAACTTAACATCAGGGCAGCATTGCGAAGGGATTTGACTTGAAAGCCTAAAAAGATAAAACGCAGGAAGTATTTAATTAACGAAAGGTGGGAAGAGGTTATATCTCAAGTTTTAAGAACTTAGCCTATAGACAACCTTGAAAAGGAAAAGGAAAAGAAAAAGGGTTGGAGGAGGGGGTGCCAAGTGAAGGTAGGGAAGGGGAGGGGTTGCTGAAAAAAGGTGTGAAGAAGGGATGGGAGTAGGAGTAGGGGAGGGGGGAAAGTGCTAAAAGGGTTGTAGAAAAGGTAAGGAAAAAGGTTGTAGAGAAGAAAGAAAAAAGTTAAAAAAAAATTATACAATTATGTAAAATGTGTAATTATATAATTTTAAATAATAAAAGAAATGATGTGACATGTCACATGGTGCCATATAAAAATGAAACTGATATTTTATCAAACAGTACTTAACAGAAGAGAATTAATAGTAAGGATTAAATCTTAATTTCTTAATTTATTAGAAATTATAAAAAAAATTTGTTAAAATATAACTCCTAAAAAGTTAAGAAATTAAGATTTAATTAATTCTATTTTGTTAAGTGCAACTTGACAAAGTGTCAGATCATCATTTTTATATGGCACCATGTGATATGCCACATCATTTTGTATAATTTGATAATATATTTTAATTTCATTTTCATATTTCTTTAGTTTTATAATTTAATTATATATAACTTTAAATATTATTTCATTTATTATCCAGCCTTTATCGGATTGAAATTAAAGTCAGACAAATAATTCTATTAAATTTATTCTATTAATATTAAATTATTTTTCAGCATATTAAAATATTTATCAATTATTTAAAATCAATTCTTGATATTAAAATTTTTTAAAAGTTTTAAGTCAAACAGGATTTAAGTTAAATTCATTAGAGCCCATCTCATAACTAACGAACTTCAATTGAATGACAACAAAAAGAACAGACAAAAAAAATATAAATGATGACAAAAATTAATTACGATCCAAAATCTCCAATGGCAGTACGATGATGGATATTATATAGGTCTTATCATCTTGAATTATTGTTAATTTAAAAATAAAAATAATGGGAGAGTTCAAATAACTAATAAAAAGAAATTATTGTTCGTACTTAATTGCAACTGCAGGTTATCTTATCTAAACTATTAATAATTAATATTAAAAAATTATTTTATAATGCTATAAGATTTTATATATTTTTAATAATTTATTTTTTATTTTACCCTTATTAAAATATGTAACATTTCAAAATTTTACTACTTTTAAATTAATTATTAATTATATTAATTTAAATAAATTAGTATTAAATTATATATAAAAAGTTAGAAACTAAAATATATTTAGTGAAATTTATCTAAAAAAGAGTAACAAACAAATTGGATAAATTAATTACTCAAAAATATTTAAAATAATTTTAAACTATTTAAATTAGAGATTACAAAAATTATAATCAATTAAGAAAAAATAAAAATAGAAAATTAAATATAAGTTACAAAATTGATAAAAAGACCAAAATATCATTAAAATAGGATTTACATGATGACTCAAATTGATAGTCATGAAAATTTTAAAATTTTGAAGGCAAGCTATTAGGTTAAATGAGGTTATAGTCGATCAAGAACCAAACACAAACCTCAAATAGAAAATTCAAATCGATTTTTCTAAATATAGCACTTAAAGTGGGGTGAAAAGGTTAGATAAAATAGGTAAAACTTATAATTTTATGATCATATCTTACCCAAACCAATTGACATGATTTTTGGCATGAAAGGATATCTAATTTGTTAATAATTGAGTAAGGGATTAGCTAAAGTGAAGTAGATCAATAAAAAAGAAAGCTTAGTTTACTGAAACTAATTGAAAATGATATTGATTCAATGATTCAATTCCTAATCAAGAGGTCTAACCAAATCAAACTTAGCCAACAAATAGTATTATGTGAGGGAGAAAATCTGAAGTGAGTAACCAAAAATTAAAGACAAACAAAGCAAATACTTAGATAGGGATGGAAACACGTCAGGACAGGTCAGATTTTACTCTAAATAGGTCCGACCTGTAATATAATTATTAGGTCTGACCTATTTAAATGGTCTTTCCTGGCCTGAAGCCTATTAACAAAATTTGTTACAAAAAAATATTTTTAATATTAATAAAAATATAAATATTTTATTATCAAATTAGTTTACATATTTTTCTAATTTCTATCTATGTTATTAATAATTATTAAATAATTATAATAATATTTATATAATTTTATAAATAATTTTTAAAATATTATTTAAGCATTAATTATAAATATTTTATATTAATAAAATTTATATTTATATTTTTTTGATTTATTTTGTAAATTTTATTTAGATGTTAAAGATTTTAGTTTTATTTTAAAAAACATATTTTGTTTGTTTAAAAACATCTTATATTCAACAAATAAAGTTATAGTGAATACATAAAATTGATCATACAAAATAACGTTCACACAATTTGTTGAATCAATTAAAATAAAATTATTATGTTTTAAAAAATAAATATATTTAAACTTAATGCAATATATATATATATATATATATATAATGACAATAATAATAACTATTAAATTAAAAAAATAATTACAAAATATTTAATTTTATTTGTTTCATTAATTTGTTATTTTAAATTAACAAATAAATATAAAATTAATTACAATATAACATTAACATAATATAAAAAATATTGTTGATATAATAAATTAAAACACATATTTATATATTACATATAAATTGATAAATTAATTAAAAATTTAATTAAAACACGTGCAAGTTACAAAAATATATATTATTATATAATTTATTGATAATTATATTATTTATATTATTTGCTACATGGTCTGATTATATATATATATATATATATATATATTATAATAAATTTTTTATTTTATTTTCTTATCATTTTTTTAATAAATTGTTATTTTCAAATAAAATATAATTCATATTTGAGTAATTTCTATTAATTATAAACAAAAAAAATTATAACATAATATATTAATATAATAATTGAATATGAATAATAATAAAATTAAAATATAAAAAATATATTAATAGAATATTAATATTTATTTTTAAATTTTAATTCGTTTAGTTTTAACTGGTCCTATTTTTGTTTAAAGACTTAGACGTTCTTCAGCTTATTTAAATATAACAAATGTAATAATTTATGATTAAATAAATTTATTTTTTAAACATGTGTAATCATATATAAATATTTTTAGTTTTGAATATAATATAAAATAATTATTTAAAATTTGACATATTTATAGCGAGAATTGATGGACCAAGCGAAAGTGAGAATGTCGGCTTGAGTAATGTAAACGTTAGTGAGAATCCAATACCTTGAAAATTTAAGGGTTCCTCCGCAAGGTTCGTCCACGGAGGGCGAGTCAAGGCCTAAAATCAGACCGAAAGGCGTAGTCGATAGACAACAGGTGAGTATTCCTGTACTACCCTTGTTGGTTCCAATAGAAGAAGTTTGACCCCTCCCTATAATGTAATGTTTTAGTTTTTTTTATTTTTAGGGGTTTATATATTCCATTTTTTTTAATGTGCCTCACAATTCAAAATAATTTCGGGAGAGGGGTCATTTCATTTTTCAATTTAGAATAAATAGCTTCAAGAAATGAGAGAATTAAGAATACTCACTAGAAATATTAATTCAATCCATAATGATGTAACGGAGGTACTTTAGTCAAAAAATTTATACCAATGAAGGTAAAACACATAATAAGTTATAAAAGTATATATTAATATACATAATTTATTTAAAATTATATTATTTACTATATGGTCCTATTATATATATATATATATATATATATATATATATATTGTATATTGAATTTTTTATTTTATTTTTCTATCATTTTTTTATAAAATTTTAGTTTTGAATAAAATATAATTCATATTTAAATAATTTTTATTTATATAAAAAAAGAATTAAACATAATACATTAATATAATAATTAAATAATAAAATTAAGAGTATAAAAAATATATTAATATAATTTTATTATTTTATTTTTAAATTTTATTTAGTTTAGTTTTGATTGTGTCTTATTCCTGTTCAAATATTTAACTATTCTTTAACTTGTTTAAATATAACAAATATGATAATTTATTATTAAATAAATTTATTATTTACAAAGTGTAATCGTGTATAAATATTTTTAATATTTA